AGGATTACGGATCCTCCTTCCTTGGGAAGCAGGATAGCGCTCCAACAACGCAGTCCTTTCGTGTGGCACAAAGGTCTCGATAGATACAAGGGGGTCTTGGGGTGTATTCTGTATATGGACGATCAGAGGATACTACTCTTAGTAATCAGAAGAAGAACAAGTCATCATTCAGACCTCTTGTCAAAGCTTGAACTTCATGAAGAGTCAGGTTTCAGAGTTGAGGGGTTTAGGTTTGCGGAGTCCACGGTCACGGTCCATGGTTTGGGGCTGAGCATCGTAGCAGTCTTGATGGCGATGATCGTCCTAATGATTAGAATTGGCTTTGGGGGCCATAGTATACTAGAAATATAAATAAGGACCCCCCCCGCCAAAAAAAAAAAAACAAAAAAATAGTGTAGGTAAGTCTTGAGGCCCTACATTCGTTCTTTCCACTCTTGCAGAGGGTTCGGAGGAACTCTTTCTCCAAAAGGCCATCTTGAAAGACTGCTGAGTGGGAGCCGCGGGTCCGTGCCATCAGCGGAATGCTTCGGGTAGGGCTTAGGGTGTTGGGGTTTTTTGGGTTTAAGGCTTAGGGTTTTGGGCTTTTGTGTTTAAGGTTGAGGGTTCTGGGGCTTGTTGGCAGGGTTTGATTACGAACCCCATTGCGGGGAATTTATCGGGCTCTACAATCAGTAGGCCATGGCAGTTTAGTACTACTACTACTACTACTACTACTACTACTGCTACTACTACTACTACTGCTACTTCTACTTCTACTACTACTACTACTACTACTACTCCTGCTACTACTACTGCTACTACTACTACTACTACTACTACTACTCCTACTCCCACTACTACTACTACTACTACTACTACTACTACTACTACTACCACTACCACTACTACTACTACTACTACTACTACTACTACTACTACTACTACTATCTTTATTACTTTTTCTATTACTAGTATATTACTAATATTCCAAGTGAGCCCGCAAAACAGGCCACAGGTGCACAAAAATAATGGCGACAAAAATAGGCCGTCCCAGTTTCAGGTGTCCAAGAAGCATGTTCGTTGGGTGGCTGTTGGAAGAAATTGAACTTGAATCGTCCAGCATGCCCCAGTAGGAGATACATCAGTGTCGACCGCAGATAGATAGATCAGTGTTTTCAGGATCACCAAATCAGGACCCTAGGAACGCCTTACTATAAAACCCAATGATGCGCGATAACGACCACTCCCCAAGTTAAAGAACCACCTTCTTAATTGTGCTTCAGGAATCTTCTTGCCAACAATTATGAAAAGCTTCAAGCACCATGTCCCAAGCCCTAGTATGGGTAGGGTTCTTTATAAGAGCCCTAATCGATTGGGGTTATCGGGACAGGGTTAATCATGTCCTACATTAAGCCGTAAATCTACAACAATCTAATAGAAAAGCGGAAAATCTACAGCGAAGAGTTATGTCCTAAATTGCACCTTACAGCCTAAAGCCCCAACCACAACTAAATGACACCTTAAATCAGGGTTTAGGATTTAAGGGTTTAGGGTGTATTAAACCCAACTACATCTTCAAGCCTGCTAACAAAAGGGGTAGGGCATGGAGGAGGAGTGTTTCGGGCTTAATGGTTGCATTTTCGGCAGGGTCCCGAGCTGTGGCGAAACAAGTCTACCCAAACGGCCCGCTTGGATAAGGAATGTAGATAGGACTTCGTACGATGGTATACAAGACTTGGGGTACACTCTTCACGTCTGCCTGGTTCTTCCAGAGCCGACGAGCTTTTGAACCACTGCAGCGGGGTGGCGCTGAGCGAGTTTGTGTTTGAGGTCTTCTGCAGCGGAGGTATGCTGGCAAATAGCCACCCAAGGCCACCATACAACAGTCTACACCCTACTATACACCCCGAAACCCTCAAACCCAAATTTCCAGACCACCATCTCCTGAAACCCTGAACCCGACACCTCAGAACCGCCGCGACGTAGACTGCAGACTACAACCAGGCGGCGTTCCTTGCTTTTTGTTTCATGGGGTGGCTTATAAGCCCTACGCCCTAGGCCCTGAACCCCAAAGCCCTAATAAGGCCTAAAGCCCTAAAAGCCCTAAAGCCTGAACCCCAATTCGTTGGGTTCTCAACTCAGTTTCGCAAAGTGCTCATTGCTTCGGGCCCAAGGTTCATCGCAGACAAGGGGTGCAGGATCCTTCTGGGGTTTAGGGGCCTTAAAACAAGTACCCATACTATTTTGGGGGTTCCTTATTATAGTTAGAGTAAATTGGGCTTAGGACCTTTAGGGTTTGAGGGTTCAGGGAGCAGGATCTTTTTGGGTTTGGGTTTCAGGGTTTCGGGTTTAGGGTCTTCCGCCGTGGGGCGGAGTTTAGGATTCCAGGGCCCCCAAAGAAAGGGCCGTATGGCTTTGAAGCTTTGGAGTAGCGTGTGGTGGATTCGGGCGTCGCGCCCTGAACTCTACTTAGTCTGCTCGCATCCACACCAGGTGCATCGCTCCCAGTAGAGAATATTGTCGTGAGTGCACTTCGAAGCTCAAAGGAGATAACTGTAGGATGCATCTGCACGTTAGCCTTAGCTTGCTCCGATCAGAAACGACGCCCTACAGTATCATCTCAACCTTACTCTACACTAACTATTTGCGCGAAATAGGCCGCACGACACAAAAACCTCAAGCCCTACATAGAACTCCACCTGAGCCTCACAGGTAGCATTGAATTCGACTGCATCCGGCATATCAGACAGCAAGCTCCGCACTTGCCTTCGCAGATTGGGGAGAATTTTCATGCCGGGTCTTAAGAGATCCAGGATCTACCGGCGATATTTATACTAGTGCAAAAAGAGGTTGTGGGTCATTGAAGGGGGTAAAGGGTTCAGAGCTTCAGGGTTGATCTACTTCAAGGATGTGGAGTGTTAGGGGTTTGGGACTTTGGGTTTGGACACTGAGGATTTTGAAGATGTGGGGTTTGAGGGGTTGAGACAAAAAGGCTCTAAACCCAAAGCCCTGCTTGAAAACCCTAGAACCTGAATCGCAAACTTTAAGCCCTAAACTCTGAACAACTTGAAACGCCAATGGCCCAAACCCTACCTCCTAAACTCGAAACTCCACGAAACTGTAAACCCTACACCCTACATCCTTGACTTTGAACGAAAATCCTAAACCCCTCAACCCTACATCCCAAACTTTAGACCCTAAGCTATGAGCCCTATACTGTAGACCCTAAACCCTAAGACCCCACATCCTGAACTTTAAACCCTAAGCCCTGAACCCTAGACTTTAAACCCTAATTCCTACATCCTAAACTTCAGACCCTAAGCTTCAACCCCAAAAATAAACCTTGAACCGCAAAAGCCTAAACTTTACGCCCTAAACCCGGAATCCTAAAGTTGCAGCATATACTTTACACCCTCAAAAAGTCTAAATAAACCCTAAACCCTAAACCCCCTACAGCCTAAACTCTAAAACCTAAAGCCCTAAACATCCCTTAACCCCTGGGCCGCCTCCGTTTCAGCAGCGCGTGGAGGCCTTGCTCTGCAGGCGGTCCACGCCCAACAGCAGCCTTCGGCAAACCTGGCGTTGCATTTAAGAGGCCTAAATAGTAGTGTAGGGTTTAGGGTTTAGGGTGTAGGGTCTAGGGTTTAGGGTTTATATAGGCTCAAATAACTACTACAAGAAGCCTAAATTATAGTTTAGGGTTTAGGGTTTAGGCTTAAACAGTTACTATAAGGGTTCCTTTAAGGCTTCTATAGAGGATCTAGAATATGGCTCTATACTATACTTCCTTACCAGCATTATTGAGGGGGGTCGTTATTATGATTAGAACATAACATGCCCCAAAAAACCCTGTTCTCATTCCTAGGGCTGCCATATTAAGGCACACCTGCTTGTGGCTTAGGGCTTCTAGGGCTTTTAGGGTACAGGTCTTGCTTTCAGGGCTCAAAGGGTTTAGGGCTCATAGGGTCTAGGGTACAGAGTATAGGGTTTAGGACCGAGGGTTTAGGGGTACAGCCGACCTCCACCCGCTGCGTCCAGCAACGTTGCGTGCGCCTCTCCAGAGCGGCCGACCTTGGGTCATTTACGCTTTGGGTTTCAGGGTTTAGGGTTTAGGGTTTACGCTTTCGGTTTTAGGGTTTAGGGTTAAGGTTTCAGCGTTCAGGGCTTAGGGTCCATAGGCTTTAGGGCTTGAGGTTTAGGGTTTATAGGGTCTAGGGAATCTTTCAAAACAGGCTTTATAGGACCTTCAGGGTCTATAGGCTTAGAGGATCCTCGAAAAGGGGTGTTACAAGCCTTTCATGCTTTTCCTGCTTCTAGGGTTTGTAAATATGTAATAGGCCTTGACAGTTTGAACAAGGTATGAGGGGGGGGATATGTTTTGGTACTACTAAACCCTAAACCCTAAACCCAAGACTAATGTCCCCTACATATCAAGCGACCCTACGGGGTCCTACGTCTATGGCTTCGAGATCGAGGGCTCTCTCGGCGTTTCGTGCTCCAAATACGGCAGCCTAAACCCCAAGCCTCACACCCTTACCCCAATACCCCTACACCCCAAACCCTAGAAGTTCTGGAAATCAGGATTTGAGGTTCGAAACTGATTCAGGTTGAAGGGCCTGTAGGTTGCGGATTTACGAGGCTTCGCGGTTTAGTATTTAGGATTTAGGAGCTCATTGCTTGTCGGCTTAGGATCAGGCTTCGGGGGTTCAGGGGGCTCTTTGGGGTTCAATAGGAACGACGATTGAGCCATTCAAAGTATCTCGGGTTGTGGCTTCTAGGTGGATGAAGTGCCACTGCGAGGTTCAGGAAGTTCACTGAACATCACGGACTCTCCGAACATTAAGTCCTGATACACCCTACTCTCTAAAACTGCCATGCTCATGTCCCATTGTTTTCCTTAGCTTTGGAACATTGGAAAAGCCCGCTTAGATACTCACAAACATTAAGTCCTGATACACCCTGAAACCTAAACCCTAAACCCGACTCACAAGCCAACATGCCCAGTGCATTTGCCAAGAAGCCCTGTTCGTCGTTCCAGCTGCCGGGCATACCGCTTCCGCTCCACGCCTTGCACGCCAATTGCAAAGTTGGGTGTATGTAGTAGATAGTATAGGGGCCTTACTAAT